ACCTGAATATATTTTCTGTGAACTCACAAAATCGCACTTTTTAACGTGATTTTAAAGTTGCCAAAAATTTACGACGTCCACAAATTTCAAACGCCTGTCATTTTTTAATTTATTGTCCGATTTCTATAATTCAAACACCAAAGTTCATGGTTTGCATAGTTCTTTATGATGCAACAAACATAAGTTTGATCAAAGCACTTTGAAATTTGGGTTTGTGGTACCTATATATATAGTCATCTTTTTCGTCTATCCTCACATGGGGTGAGAATAAAAACACGATCGACCTCTCACCCTGGGTTAGACTTGTCAGCGTTGGCTGTTCTCACCCGGTGTGAAACAAGACCTGTTTTTCCTAATTTCGGAATGTAATACTGTCTATCGGTGTGGATGATCAAATTGACAAAAGTAAAGAAAAAATAACGTTCTAAGTTTTATAGCACAAAAGTAAGCTAATTTGATTATCTACAAAGATGCTATGGCTCCGAACTATGGGGGTCGCCATTTTGTTTTGCCTGGAAGTTCTCGCAAGATCTACTCCTCCCGTCTCTCTCTCTGTCTCATTTTGAATACTGCCTATATGTGTGGACGATCAAATTGACCACAACAAAGTGAAAAAATGATGTTAGAACACAAAAGTAAATTAATTTGGTCATCTACAAAGATGCTACTGCTATTTAACTTTTCGAATCGAGCCGAACTACGCGGGTTGCCATTTTGTTTTGCCCGGAAATTCTAGCGCTACTCCTCTCTTTCTCTCTCTCTCAGTCTCTCTCAACTGCCGACAGACAAAATTGCATGCTTTACTTTAAGCTAAACCAGTAGTAACACAAGAGCGCTGGAACGTTTGTTCATGGGCAAAGAATTCTACAATTCTGTTATAATCACAGTGTAGAATTCTGGGATTCAGGGTGAATGCTACTCTGGTTGGCCTAGGCTAGGCACTTGGATAAAAATTTCAAAGCTTTCAAATTGCTTTAAAAACAATACCAATGCAAAGAGCTCAGTGACACGATTCCAACGCTACCTTAGTTATTGCTCTATGTTGAACCGTTTTTGAGATATTGCATTTTAAAGATCTTTTCGAGGGGATAACATCTATATAGAAAAAAAAGGCAATTTTTGTGATCGAAACAGC